CCTATGGAATTTTTGATTTTGGCTTAGGGTTCCAGTCTTTAAAGTGAATGTGAACATTTTTATTCTGGTCCTACATGTAACATATCAGGTCTCTCTGCCAGGTCTGAGTTCCCTTCTTCTAGGTTAGTGTTGAACAGGACAGACTCACCCTGCCCAGGTCTTTCTTTCTTTTCTTTTAATATGTTTGACGTCTTCACCAACACAAACATTCCAAGGTTATATGATGGGGTGGTAAACTGTGTAATCCCATCAGAACTCCTCTCCAGGATAGGGCTGTTTAACTAAAAGCAAATCTACCAAACTATCCTGAAGGCCACAGTCCATCACCTTGATCAGAAAGATTAAGGAAGACCCTACCAGCTTCTTTGCCAAGAAGCATGAGACACTGGAATTTCTGTTCAGAAATGTATTGATTTTTTTTCTATGAATGTATGATTTTTTCTCCTATAAAGAAGCATCATATAAAGTATGTATGCAAAGATGCATAAGATTATGTTCATAACATGCTGTATTTAAATGGTTGGTCTGAGTAATTTTATGTTATTAACTCTTGCACATCTTCAATTGTGCTGTGCTATAATTATAAAGAATATCTGACAACCAAGTATTCCTCCTTTTTTACATTAGGAATATAACTTAATTCCACAGATAATTTTCAGTTTACAGAAACAATGTTTTTAATTATTTATTTTTTACTTAAAAAAAAAATTCCAGTGAGTTATAGTACTGCAAGGAAGTATTACCCCCTTCCCCACGGAATTTTTTTCCTAGCTCTTTATCTTCTCATCACCTTCTAGGGGACACTTCTGGGCTCTGCTGTCTCCTTACACAGAACTGGACATCGCTCATAGAGTGACAGAATGCCACAGTTAGGATGACTAATGCAATTTATATAAACTTATTCAACCATTATATGAATAATAAAACTGAGGCCACTTGAGTGAAGTGATACCCAAGGTCATACAGTTAATCCAAGGGCATATAGCCTCATAAAAGAATTAAAACTCAGCTATTATTAAGTCCTAGGTCAATGCTCTTTTTTAAAAATAAACATTTTATTTTAGAATTATTTTGGATTAGCTTTTGTGTAGACAGAGTCTCCACATACCCCACATCCAATTTCCCCTATTATTGCCATCCTACATTAGTACAGTACATCTGTTACAATTAATGAACATATGAGGGTACTTCAAAAAGTTTGTGGAAAAATAGAATTGAAAGATAACGCAAATCTTTCCACAAACTTTTCGAAGTATAACGATACGCATCAACACAGTATTATTAACTGAAGTTCATACTTTATTCAGATTTCCTTAGTTTTTACTTAATATCTTTTTCTGCTCCATGGTCTCTTCCAGGATACCACATTACATTTAGTCATTATGTCCCCTTGGACTCCTCTGGGTGTGTCAGTTTCTCAGACTTTTCTTGTTTTTGATGACCTTGACAATCTTGAGATGTACACTCAGATATTTTGTAGCATTGCCTCTATAGAGATGTGTCTGATATTTTTCCTATAATTAGACTGAAGTTACAGGTTTTTTGGAGGAACACCATAGAGGCAAAGAACCACTTTCATCACGTCATACCAAAGGCGATGTTATCAACATGACTTACCACTGTTGATATCAATCTTGACCAGCTGGCTGAGACAGTATCTGTCGGATTTCTCCACTAAAAATCCATTCTCCCCCCCTCCCTTTTTCTACTGTCCTCTTTGGAAGGAAGTCACTATGTGTGGCCCACACTCAGGACTGGGGAGATACGTTCCACCTCCTTGAGGGAGAAGTACCTACATTAATTACTTGGAATTCTTCTGCATGGGAAATTTGTGTTTTCTCCCCACTTATTCAATCATTTATTTAAATCAGTATGGACTAATGGATATTTACTTTATACTTTGGGTTACAATCCAATACTACTTTATCTGGCTGCCCAAATTGTTCTAGCTTAGGCCAGTGGGAACTCCTTCAGTTGCCTCCTGTGTTGGTCCGACAGACCCACCATCACTGTGGTTTGTGTGAACACTCCCTTACTTTCTGTCACTACAAGATGCTCCAGGTTCATCTTGTGTATTTTCTAGCATCAGCCATTTCTTCAATGAGACCTCGTTCATTTTACTGGAGATTAGAGACCATGATTCGGGTGCTATGTGTGCCTGTTGCTACCAGGGTGTCATTGCTTCTAGGCTTTCTTAGTGAACACAGCAAGGAAATGTGAGTACACTAACCAGCACATATACGTATATGTAAAAATGTTGTTATATGTAACCAGCTCTATACATATGAAGCTAAAGATGAGTGCACACTGATGTCTCCAACTCAAGTCCATTACAGGGTCATTCTAGCCTTCTCCCTTTGCTGGTCCCTAACCTCTCACTCTGACAGTGAGAAACTTGGCTCCCATCAACTACCATCCATTAATTTAATCAGTCAATTCACACTTCTGGGCAAGATGGAAGAATTGAAGGTCCCCAGTGTCACTCTCTCCCACAAATCAATGAATTTACAACTATAGAAAAGCAACGACAGCCAAGCTGGGGTGCTGGAGCTCAGGAGAGACCGACAGAGTGCATGAAGGTGGGAGAAGCCACAATGACAGAAAGAAAGAACCTCTCTGACCATTTTGAATCCTGGCCACTTCCAGGCTAGAGCTGCTGAGCACATGGAGCAGGAGCTAGCAAAAAGCCACAACTGTGCACTGTGGATGGAGTTGCTTGAAGATGGCAGGGTAGAAGACAGCCTTGGTATCTCCCAGGCCAGAATACCACTAACAAGGTTCCCGTGGACCCACACAGGACCAAGGAACCACAACAACTGAAAAAAAGGAGCCACTCAGAGGCTGATGAGTCATTGCAAGGGACCGGAGCATGACCCATCCCATGGGAAGTGTTTGGAGCAGGGTGGTGGGGGAGACAGTCCCACCGGGGGAACACTTGGGCACAGCAAGACAGGTGATCCACCCCCAATCAGCGTGGGATGACTCAGAGGAGACTGGTCAGGAATATACAATTGCATGGGGTGCAGTTTGATGAAAAAATTTAGGCCCAAACCAGTGTTTCTACACAATGCAGGTGTACCAGATCTCACAAGAGCTGGAAGTACCTATAAAGTCAACCATTAAACCCTGAGCTGCACAAAAAGCCTTCCTTAGGGAATCAGCAGCAAAGCAGCAATTTAGCTCAACCACACAGCTCAATTACTGGTCCTCTCAGGAAGTTCTCCCATTTTAGAAGTAAGCAAAGGACAACAAATTAGTTCCGGCACAGAGTTTAAGAGGTGAGGAAAGGAAATAATCCAACACAGAACTGAAAGATTAAACAAAGTAGCCACAACCAGAGACAAAGTTTGATATTAACTAGTAAAGGTCTTTAGGGTACACTGCCTTATGGTGAGCCTAAAACAACTGAAATAATGAAACCGAGCCCAAATGGATCTTTGTGAAGAATGTGAGAGGAGTGGGTTTTGGCACTGAGAAGGAGACTGAATGAACTACTTTCTGTCTCTTTCGACTCAAAAATTCTATGGAGTATAATGGACCTAGTACAGAGTCAAATTAACAACTTCCAAAGCCCTACGAATATGAGTAATTATGGAGTCCCATTCCATTTGTAATTCAAAATAAACCTAAATCTATATCACAAAGTGTGTGTCAGGAAGTCTAATGAAGTTCAGATATATCCATAATTACTTGTCTCTTTTAAAGATAGCAAATATAAAATCTTTTCCTTAATTTCTCTCTTCTGTGCTGCTGCTTCATGGGACCCAATACATGTGATTAGCTTGTTGTTTAGCACTGATTTTCTGACTCTAGGTACAAGACAAGATGTATACAAAGACTCTTTGGGAGTTATTTGTAAAATAAAAAGCCCAAAGAAACCCCATGCAAAGACAAAAAAGTCTGCAGCCTTTTCATTTAAAATGTTCATTTATGGGCCGGCCCCGTGGCTCACTTGGAAGAGTGCGGCACTGGTAGCGCTGAGGCCGTGGGTTCGGATCCTATTTAGGGATGGCCGGTGTGCTCACTGGCTGAGTGTGATGCAGACCACACCGTGCTGAGGGTTATGCTCCCCTTACCGGACCGAAAAAAAAAAAAATGTTCGTTTATAACTATAGCAGAAATACAGATGGGGACAAAATGTGGTCATGCATTTTAAAAATCAGAGCCATCTACAACTGATATACAAAACGCAGTACTCAAACGGCTAACTTTCCTCAAGTATGAAGAGATCGCTTATATATACATCTACCGTTAAATTTTCAGTTTTCTTCACTGTGCTCTAATTCTTTGAAAATTGATACATATGCCAAAATATATGATTAAACAGAATACCTTAGGCCTTGATCATATAGGTGATAATAGAATTTGAAGTAAAAACTAATTTGGTATGATGATCAACTTAAAAATGCTGCATTAACTTGTTAGTTATATTTACTGTGTGAGTTTTTTCATTGTAGCTAAGTAAGTTTCATAATTTCCACTCATGGCATCTTAATTTTTGAACAAATTTACAGGTTATGAATTATTTGCCAAGAATTCTGTGAAAAATCAAATGTGAAAATAAGTGACTATTGATCTGTAACACTTTTATATTTAGAAAACTAGTTCTTTGATTTAACTGGTTCATCTTTATTACTATTTTAACTCCTATAAGAAGCCTGTTACAGCTTTCACAGAAAGAAAGGAGAGCAAGCATCTTTTCTATAAATAATGTGAGGCATTTTCTACCCCATCCTAGAGTGCTATAACTTCCTTCTGCAACTCAGGTGACATGTTCACATGACGAAATGACCTCTTTAAGACTTCCCAAGTTACAATGGAAAAAGTGCACTGAAATAGCCTTGACAAGCCTTGTTATGAGTGTTAATGCTTGCTTAAGGAAAATGAACTATGTACCTAAGGGAACGGCATTGGTTTAAAGGTTTAAAGTAAACCCATGGTGAATTATAATTATTAAAAAAAATACACGTAGTTTTAAAAAGCAAATAAAAAGTACTTACTGGAACGTCAACATATTTTGCAGCTGCTTTTACCTTAAGTGCAAAAGAAAGAGATAATTATGAGAATTATTTTCTTAACTGCTACATAAGTACTATAACGACAAAAGACAGAAGAGAACTCATTGAAATACTTACAGTAAATGACAGAATGGATGAAAAGAAAGTGCCTTCATCATACCTCGACAGCTTAGACAACACCCCTTCCAACACTGAAACAAACTGGAATACAGTTTACAGGTGAGTTTTCAGAATGTTACTGTGCACACAAACTAATTGCAGGGCAAAACAACTCCTGAACCAGCTTCTCCCATGGCACAAAAATCCACAATGAATGAACTGATAGTTGAGGGGCTAACTTGTAATGTTTACTCTTTCATTTTAAGGATGAACTCTAAGGTCCTTTCCCATTGCTAGAAATAGTACAAGATTTTTAATAGTAAGTAATTGTAATAGGAGTCTAGTCACTACACACATGGGATAATTTAAACCATTAATAAATAAGCTTAGGTTCATGAGACTATTACTTAAAATATTTTTCAACCTCCACACAGAAGTTTAGAAATAATGATGGTCAAGCTTAATCAAATTCCTTTCTGTCATACACTACTTGACCATCCTCCAACTCTTCTTACACCCACACAGGAAATTGAATTAAAAAAGGCAGATAATAAAAAGGAGGTATAACATTTCAGGCTCTTGTAAGATTGAACAAAGTCTGATATTACTTGACAAGCAGTTACCAAGCAGTTCTAACTAGGATATATAAGGATCATCCCTGCTTCCAGAAGCTTACACAGCAGCTGGAGAGCTAAAACAGATACACACTGCAGGGTACAATGGAAAAGAGCAGTAGACTGAGAACATGTATCCGGATTCCATCCCTGACTGCTACGTGGGCTTGACCTGACCACTGTACCTCTGGGCCTCAGTTTCTCCATCAGTTAAGTGGACTGTGTGTGTTGAAAGCAGGGAGGAGGGCACAGAGTTCAAATTAGTCTCAAAAGTGTTTTACATTTCTAAAATCTTATATTTCTATGAAATGAAAAAAAGACAAATATACTGCAATATAATAAAAAATGTGGAGAATTTTACTGAATGGAAACAGACTAAGATCTAACATGAAGATCAATAAATAAGATACATTAATAAGGATATTCTGTCCTACATCTTTCCTCTTTAGTACTAAAATAATATGCACTATTGACAAATTACACACTCCCAAAGGGAAAATACTGACAAGGTTTTTTAAATATGAAAAGGGAAATTAACAAACGCCGGTTTTTGTTCACATAGCAGCTTCTTTAACGAAGTGATAACAGTTCTAGGGACACAGCTTATTGGTCTCTAGTGACCAGGAAAGTCGCTGCGAGTGCACCAGAGATAATCTTTTCTTTATGGCTGATCAATTACTGCAAAATAGTTTATGCAAAAGAAACACAAACTTCCCTATAGGTTTCTCCATCACATCATTTGCGATATGATGTAAGAACACAGAAACAAAACCAAGTAAACCACTGACTAAAATTTTATTTTTAAAGAATGAGAATTATGTACAGCTGGGTAGTTATCCTAAGGGAGACAAACAGCAAAAAACACAAAATTACAAATTGCTCACAACTAAAAGTCAATTTAGCACTTTCTTCCTGCCCATTAGGGTTTCTTACCAATCACAACTGGCTAAGTCAACTTGATGTGGTTTGCAAAGACTCAGGAGACTAATACTCTAGGGTTCCATCAGAATCAGACCAGGGGAAGGGAATTCCAAACTTAATGGCCCTCTATGGAAAATGCCTTGTCTCTTGCAACTCAAATCTTGAGAACAAGTGTGTGCTGGGTGATCTCATTTGCCACGAGGAGAGCCACAATTGCTATGGTTACCAGACAGCCTGAACCAGTGAAGGCTCCAGCACACACCTGGTTCCCGGTGCCTTTCAGGGAGTCTGTATGGACACATGTGGGGTGAGGCGAGGTAGAGGGAAGAATCCTGTGGATGGATTTAGAAAACCTGGGTTCAAGGTGTAGCTCTGCCACTGTCTGGCTACGAGATAACATCAAGTCATTCTGTTTCTCTTGCTTCAATGTACTCATCAGTTAAACAGGGAAAATGACAGCCATCCTGCCCTCCTGACAAGGATGGTGTGAAGATCAATGGAAGTGATTTAGGTGAAAGAACTGCAAAAATGGCAAAATACTAAAGAAATGTAAAGAATTACTATTATTGATCTGATTAGCTAAATTACTATCCATCCTATGTCTGTAAACTTAAATATGTTAAACCACAAGTTAATGGGGGTGGACTTAGGACTGCTTAGTGATAAGGGGTAATAATGAGTTTGGTTCTTAGCTGATGGGCCTAACAATTAAATCTATGGCAGTGTCTATCCAAGCAGATTAAGGTTGAGCTGTAAGTCAGAAGACCATTGGGATCCTGCCCGTTTCAAGGGCATTAGGCAGACAGCAGAGGGGAAGGCTTTGAGCACAGGTGATCTGGCTTCAGAACTCATGCTCTTCACCATCATGCTGCAGAGTTGTGAGGATTAAAGAAGACGATATATATAATGTGCCCAGCATACAAAAAGTGCACAATAAATGCCATTTTGTTATAATTATTATTATTGAGCATGTCAGATAGGAAATACAGAAACACAAGAGTCTTAGACCTTTCCCTTTAGGAACATACAAACTAGTGAGAGAGACAGACGTGAACAGAATCGGGCATGACACGGGGCAGAAGTGTTGCAGGCCACTGTAAATGGGCAAGCAGTGTGAATAAAACTGGAGGAGGGAAAGAATGTGGCACAGGAGCTGAAGTGCAGGACAGCAGAAATGGAGTGCATAAAAGCACGGTTGTGAAGACTACTGGCAGATGCATTTAGGGAAGACGTTTCTCCACTGGGGCATCTGGCTTGTCTTCTTTCAGACTACTGAGCAGCACTGGGTTACATCTGAGTAAGGCCTACATGTGGACCTGTGGTCTGTGGCAACTACACCACAGCATTCTTTGCCTCCATTTCAACAACAGCGGAGAGTCTCTCCTCGAGTTGCTCCCTGTCCCAAATGGTCCCTGGGGAGGCACCATACAGCAGGGATTCTAAGTGCTTATATGGCAGTGAACAGCAGCTGCACCTCTGGGACCCACCAGCTGAGCCCTACAGTTCCTACAGGAAGGTTTTCTTTGTAAGTTTTCTGTGGAGGTGCATATGGTAGAAGGGCTACCTTAAAAACCAAACTCTATTAACATCAAGATTGACTCATAACGATGTATTTTCCATCTGTCTTTTAATTGCACAAAACAGCAAGATTCCACCAAAATCTACTTAAACGCTGGGTTTAGTTGCTGCGTTTTTAACTGCTTCCTGTGAACTTTCTCCGCACAGCTCAGGGAGTACATAAATACTTATGGGTCTGCCTTGTGCTCTCTGTTCTCCTGAGGGTGTTGGGGGAGAATGAAACACTGTAATCTCTTTGTTTCCCTGCTCTTTATTGTGGATGCCATTTACTGGGTTTGTTTGAATAATATTTAACACCTCAAGTCTGTATGGGTAATTACAAAGTTTGCCACATGATGCATACTCTCAAGGAAATTAAAGATGAAAGCACTTTGAAATGACTGGAAGAATGAAACATGAAGACTGCCACAAGGCATGTTGGTTTAAATTTCCTGTTGAATTTTAACAGGATATATATAAGATTCACTTTTAACAGTATATAAGATTCATATGGTGGAACCATAAATGCTAAGTGATGGGGAAGATTCCAGCTATAAACTGATGGGTTCAAAACACACAGTAAACATGACTTACACTGTAAGATAAAATTTTCGACTGAAAAGCATCATCGATAGTGAGATTGATCATGAAAAACTAGGTGTTTGTAGTGGTGGGGGTGGGGGTGGGTGGGAC